TCGACGACAAGTGCGGGCGCTCTGGATGTAATTTTAGCAGCTATAGTGAAATAAGTCGCCAGTAATAGGAATTCCATATTTGCACAGCTAACGACGACTAGTGAATCTATTTACCCGCCTTCCTCTCCCTGATAGAGCTTTAATTACACTGTTTTAACCCCCAAACTCGCTCGCTCAATTTATCGTTATCTGATTAAACCCCTCGCCTTTGTATCTTTGCTTTCTGGACCCTTTTGCTTTTGTAGTTACACGAACCCGGTTTAACTATTTCCTTCCTTCTTGACGTAATGAAGTATTTAAATTTGAATAATCTTGTTACAAAAAAAAAAAAAATGAAAAACTTTCTCCCCCTTTTTTAAACTTTATGAATGATCCAATTTTATTCATCGTATGTCTTCATTATAATATGATAGAAGTAGGTAATCATCGCATACGCGATATAAAACAAACTGTGGGTGGGGGAAGGGGTGCCTTGGCGGTTGAAAGGAAAGAGTGAAAGTGGATAAAAGCCCGGAAGGTGGCGGAAAAAAGTTTCTGAAGCGGCCCGAACACCTGTCGGCCGCGTTTTATGATAAAAGCGAAAGTGAACGGCCGAGATGGTGCCGTCGAGGAGGCGTTGCAACGCCTCCGAGGTACACCGTTGACCGGATGGGCCGAACAGCCGCGGCACCTTCACCAAATTTGAGATTTTGGTGAAGGGACGGATAAAAACGGGAAAGGGAAAGGCCGAATGGCCCAGAAAGGGCGCAAGCGTTAGATTTCGGAGGGCCGTACTGCGGAGCTGGAGGACCAGCGAGGGCACCCGGGCACGTGCGTGCGCACTAACTTCATATTGATTTCAGTTCTGCATCTCGCACTCGTCTACGGGAGGCGCGAGAACCACGCAGTCTGACTCTATCGCGGGTCGTAGCTAAAATGGGCAGTCTGCAATCGCGAGTGCAGCCTTTCGCGCTAAGCTAGTAGCAGGAGAAGTTGTTTACCTGCTGTGGGCGTGTGAAGGACCAGTAGCATGACGGCCAAGTCCGGGGGATCCTCGATGGAGACATGAAAAGCGCGCGAAATAGCTAGAATGGTCGCGCGTGAACCCATCTCGTTTTTGGCAGTCGCCTTTTTACTCATCATTATGCCTCCAGGTGAGACTTTGTTGTTTATTTATTTTTTTCAAATTCAATCCTGCGATGGGGTCTCTTATCCCGAACGTATTCATAGTTACTCAGGCACGTTCACCGATTGCCGCCTCGACGTGTTCGTCTTTAAATAATTAAACTTAGGAGGCCACTGCTACGATACCGACTTCGCGTTTCGTTAATAAAAAATTCGAGTCTCCGACGGAAAACCCTCTTCTTAAATATTCACGCCTTACGTGCCTTCGAGCTCTATAAAAAATTAAATTCGTTGTCCGAATTTCAGATTTTTTAAATTTACGTTTAATCTGAAATGTAAATTACGCGGAATGTAATAAACGGCATGTTTATTTTCGCGTCGGACCATTATTATAAATTGATTTCCAGCCTTTGTTTTTAATTTCCTGCTACAAGAAAGACTGGAATTAATTAACTTCCCCTATCTACATAAAATCGTCAATTTAGAATTTAGAAATATGGGTCAATATGGGGTTTTAATAATTAATAATTTATTCCGTTTATTCGCGGGAACAGTTGCTTATTTTGAACCCATTTTGACCAAAGTCGTCGTTCGGCGTGGATCAACTTTTGATCCCTCTATTTTCTCTCAACAGACTTCTCGAGCTTTCGCGCGAATCGTTTTCGACGCTCGCAGGGAATTTTCTTAAAAGGTAAAGAGAGATCGAACCACAACTTTAGATCCTGGCGAACCACTTCATTACCTTATCTCTCTTACATACTGAATGGCAAGAAAGTACTTTATAAATGAATCTTAAATTTATTTTGTTTTCGTTTCAAATTTTTGAAAAAAATTTTGAAAGGTGGAGGGAATTGAAGCACGTGTGATAATGTGAACAAATTAAAGTCCTTTGTTCGGTTCCCCTCCCGATGGAAGTGGAAGTCGGAATCGATTTCCAAGGCTTGGAAGATAACTGAATATTTCGTTGACGCGAAAAGCGAAAGGCCCGTCGATCGGTTGACGGTGAGTGAGATCAAAGAGGCAGCACCACCGACAACGAACCCTCGACGCCATCTATATTTCACATCGGCCCGTCAGCGCCAGTTGTTCCCCATAACCCCATATCTTTCCTGGAGAGCGACTTTAATAGTTAACCTCGAAGTTTTCACTCGGCGGAGCACGAGCCCGATCGGGAAATGAAGGCTCTTGAAACAGTCCCAAAAGTAATACCTGCTGCACCGTTCATTAAATTAATTATCCTGCTGCGACCTGGGCCTGTGTCTCGAAGATTTACGGCATCGCATTCAAGCGTACATTTCAACCTAACCCCCCTATATTTATTGACTTAATTTATGAAATATTCATAAACTCTATTATTTCATAAATTTTCTCTTCATTTCAGGATCTCTTCAAGGTCCGCACGAGAAAAGGCTTCTAAACAACCTACTCGGACCGTACAACATCCTCGAAAGACCCGTGGCGAATGAATCCGAACCGTTGGAAGTTAAATTTGGCCTAACGTTGCAGCAAATTATCGATGTGGTTAGTAATATTTTATTTATTTTTATTTACAGTTCATCAAAACTAGCAAATCATTCCTTAGATACATTTAAAATGATATACGAGTTCTTTTTTTAATATATTTTACTTAAATGTTTATCGCCGAAATCAGTTTATGTCATCAATGCAAGTATGCAACCAATATCACACTGAATATATCTGAATACGCAAATCGCGTATTGCAATACCAGCACTGTGATATTGGTTGCATACTTGCAATGATGTATATAAGTTTAGTACGAATATTTATATATTGTATATTCGATATTACGGAATTTAATTTATGTATAAAATTTAATATTTTCACATGAATCAGAAATTCAATAAAAAACATTCGTTACTCATTCATTGTAGTTCGTGTATTCTCGGAGGTTATTCAATCTGTGACGTGTACTCTCGATGTTGACTAAAGAGGTACGTGCCGTTCCTGAAGCCTTTGGAATGAACTAACTAAAATGGCGTGGAAAATATTTAATTTAGGACCGGAAGTTTACTACCAGATATTTTTATGGATACGCTCTCTCGTATTTTTCACTTATACTTTCAGGTCGTTGACCCCGGTCATAGCTACATCTTTAAGTTTATTTAATTTAAAGTTTGTATAAATTTTATTTGTATCTAAGGATTGATAAATTATAAATTTTTATAAAGAAACGTCGTTGTTTATTAAAAAACGACGATGGTAAATTTCAATTTCGGGGTCAGATGCAATTCAACGATCCTAGAAATGAAAGCGTCAAGTGTCCATTCATATTCTTAAGAAATATGTCAGGATGGGAAAGAAACCCGTGTCGTCCTTTGTCTTGAGGGGTGAAGCAAATGTGGTTAGTTCTTGTTAAATAAGCACTCGTCGAGTTCAAACGGCGCATCAAAGGACCCGCTTGCGCGCGCTTTTGCGTTTTCGCCAACGGAACGAATAAAATATGGAACGTAACGACCGTGCAGGTTGTATATATCTTGTGGTATATATAGTCAAGACGGCTATAAAACGCTGGTAGGTAGAACGATGTTGTTTGAAGGGACGTAAAATTCGTATTGAGGGTTAATTTGCAAACGTCCTACTTGACCTACTATCAGAGCTGTAAAATGCGGAGGGAGACCTGTTAGATTTCCTCGCGAAGGTTACGCCCATCGTATTTTATAAGGCTTTAACTTATGTAAACCTACTGCTGGCGTTTTTCCAATTCGACCGGATAAGCTGGCACACATTTCAATGCGCTTTTATGTTTTCGCACTCCATTTCTCGCCCGCGTTACGGTCGCGCCGGATATAGCTGGCATAGTGTAGTGAGGAAAGGTAAAAGTTCAAAATAGTCAATCGGCTAGAGAAAGTGTAAAATTAAAGAGTTTTTGTAGAATGGCCTCTTCAAAGTTCAGTTAAACCGGATAATACTTGAGCTCGAATTTAAGAGCTAATAACCTCTGTTTTGACCCAATTTATGGAACGAAAGACAAACGTTTTGCGCAAGCGTTACTAACAAATCAGCTGGTTTCTGATCGATGTATGCACGTACACGACTTTATTATGAAATAGAAATCCCTCTTACGTTTCAAACGCCGTATGCATAACAGCTCATCACAACCGATTGCGCTAACGCGGCTCTTGTTTCAGTTTACATTCACAGCATTAACAGATCGATAACAACCGTTCATTACGAATTAAACCCTCGTTTGTAGTTTGCGATGACGTTTACTTTAGGTGATAATTGCAAGTGGAACTAGTACTAATAATTCTGTGGAGATCGATTTGTGGGAAGCTTTAAAGAGGCCATTAATAACGATCGTTAAGGGTTACTGCTCTAAATTAATACTTGTTGTTTACGTCAGAATCTAAAAAGTAGTAATCCTTATCTGACGTGACATGAACTAGATTGCATATCAGGTTTTAAAATAATCCGGCATGCAATACTAGTAAGAATGTTTAGATGTGGTGATCGAGTAAGAAGGAGTCATGAGCGAAATTATTTCATCGTATATTTTCCCTGTGTAGGATGAAAAGAATCAGATACTCACGACAAACGCGTGGTTGAATTTGGTAAGTGCCACTGTGATGTACCCAGGCATTGGCGATGTGATAGCAGTACAAACACTACGTGCCCTACGTATTTCTTTTTTTTTGTAGTATTCAATTGGTATCACTAGTGTTTGTCACTGGGCTATGTGGCTATGAACGTGAAACCGTTCCCTTTGGCCAAGGGTCGTCCTTGGACAAAGTGGCGCTGACGTATCGGCCGCGATTCGGACGCGGGGTGCATGTCTTGTCATGTGGACTAACTATCGTTGTTTCCCTTTTGTTGTTTTACCTAGGATGAGAAGAATCAACTCCTTATAACAAATATTTGGCTTTCTTTGGTAAGTGAAAACCAATTAAATAACTAAAAACATACACACACGGCAGTTCGATGATGTCTTCGTTACTACTACTACTACTGCTACCTATTATCTACCTACTATCTATTTTTGTCATATTTACTACTTCCAACCCAACAATATTGACCTTCTTCTAGCTGTACTTCTCGAACCCGAGTCTGACAGATTGTTGCGAATCCCGTAAACTACGTAGACAGTATAAATTTGGTCGAATAAGCGGCAACATAGCGTCGATCGCGACGTCACAATTTATAATTTACGCGACCCAAAAACAACGCGCCACCCGGATTATTGTGGAATTATTGACCGATGTCGGTTATTAAAAACGCGTCGTGTAAATTGATTTATCGCAAATTGTACGGCGCGATAAGCTCTTTGTCACCCCGGAGAGCAATTTTTGCCCGCTCGCCGGTCGGCGGAAAGTAAATACTCGTTGTCATGGCACCGAAAACGCAATTATCGGCATTTGATATCCATTATTCCCTGATTTGGTGAATCCACTTTGTGACGTCGCCGCCGTCGTTGTCTTTATTCTACCAGAAGATCTAAATCTAAACCTGGCTGTATCGGTCCTGAACTAGCTGCGAATGTATCCCGTAAGAGTTGAATTTATTATTATTATTAGTGTAATGCGAAATCGATTTGGTAGTGAAAGGTGAAAAGTATAAACGATCCTATGTAAGAAAGACGGTCGCTAGATGTAGTTGTAGACGAGGTTATGATAGGACATCAAAACGATGTGTCACGTCACACTACCGGATTTCCTGCCGTGTGTGTAGCCTTTTAAATTATACTATTAATTACGCTTTATTAACTAATCAAAAAGTCTCCACCGAAGTCGCCCTGCGACGACGGGAAATTCACGAATTTCCCGCACTTTTTTCGGTAAATGTCCTATTTCCCAGACTTTCAGGGCGAAAATTAGAACTTCCCCTCCAATTTCCCTCGTTTCTCCAATTCTCCGAATACCGTCTCTTTTTCTCTCTATCTCTCTCCGATGGAATCTAAGACACTTCGATTCGTACATCTAAACTGAAACATATCTGTAAAAGACCACATTAAACATGAACAGCTAAAATGGTGACGACTAAAACTACCTTCCTCGCATGACCCAACCATCTTCTCGGCTTGTCAAGTTGTCGCATGCATTACAAACGCCATTGCTGTGTCACGCTGAACCGGTAAGTACGAACCTTGGCTTTTTTTATTTTTCTCACTTCAATCTAACACGACTAACATTTTTATTTTTCAACCGACATATCTTTTTGATAAATTTCTTTAGCTTATTTCTTAGGAACTGCATCCATAGTAATATTCTGAGAAAACAGAAAATTGCCAAGGTTCGTAGTGACAACTTCAAGGGCGGCGAAAAGGCGCATGGTGCTTGTAGATGGCGCTTTGCTTTATCTGGGAATGTTGTTAGCTCCCTCAGCGGCTTGGCAAAATTTTGAAGCTTCCGCTTTCGAGCTCTGCCGACTTCAAAATTTTCCAATACTTCTGAATACGTCGTCGATAGAAGGCGGATCCAATGCTGAATGCGTTTCTAACCTTTCTTCAGGAATGGAACGACTACAACCTACGCTGGAACGAATCGGAGTATGGTGGTGTCAAAGATCTTCGAATCACGCCGAACAAACTGTGGAAGCCCGACGTGCTTATGTATAACAGGTAACAAGTTTAGTGGAATGCCTGACGTTCGAGCGTCCACACCTATTTCGACAAACGTTTACCTTTCAGTGAGCTTTACTAGCAAAATAATTAAAAAAAGAATTACACGTTGTTTCCCATCGTATTCGTTTAAAATTCGCAAACAGCAGGGAGTTCATTGTTGCATGGTCGTTGTAATCATTCTCAACTAGCCTTTGTTTTGCGATTGTCGGTTGGGAATGATGCCGAACGGGATGTACCTATTCATATTTTAACGGCTAAGAAAAGATCACAATCCGCAAGTTTCGTCGACGGAGACTCACGTCGACGAGGCTAACGGACGTATTTGCTTCATCAATGTGTATGTAGCAAAAGTTGGGGTGGAGTACACTGGCAGCGAGCCGTTGCTGTAGGCCACAGCTAGATTCCGACCTTCTGGAGTCGAAAATATACTATTGATACCTAATTTACGTACCGATATCGGCAATCGATGTTTTCTTTCTAGGAAGGTAACAATATGAATCCTTCGACTCTTGTTTGGCCGGAAAGACCACCAAAACTCTCTCTATAACAGCACGACGTAAAATAACCGAACTAAAAGACCCCCTCTCAGCTAAACGACTTGAGATAAAAACCAGAATTTTTAAACTATACTGTCGCGCGTATTAATCAATAACTACTTAAATAAGCCCTAACGCTAATCAGCTAATTAACCAACCTCTAAAATAATCAACAACATATAATTCTCGTCGAGGAGAACGAGCCTACATGGTATATTTAGCGTGGTTACTGCACATGTGCTCTCAGTTGCCCAACTTCACAAGCAAAAGGGTTAAACGATTGATTTGAGCATTGGTTAGATCAAATACGATCAGAAAATAAGAAGAATACAGGGTCTGATGAGGAATTTTCCTTTCTCGTGTCGTCAAAAAAGTAAGTTTTGTGTTTATTGTTAAATATATGCTTTCATATTGATTCATTTTTACACGGATAAAAATCGTATAAAGAAGCCGAAGTAAATAAAAATACTAGCTCGGAAAATCGGGGACGGGTTCTCTGGGGACGGAGTCGGTAGTAAAATAAAATCTGGATCCACGATACTACCGCAAGCTGGTTGTTTCTCGAATTTCAAGGGGATTTCCGTTGACCGTTTCCTCATATTCGCGAAATCTCGCATCTCTTGTGCTATATAAAGCGAATTATATTAAAGCATTTAGTAATCAAACATTTTTGAATTTATATTGAGTGTTGATTGGAAGATTCCTCATTGCTCAAATTGATCCGTACTGCGTTCTACTAGATGTAACTCCTGTTGTGCGATGCTAAGTGTTGATTATTGAAGATAAGTGGATGATTGTTGCATGAGATGTTGATCCGATGACAAACGCGCGCGGGGCCCCCTTTTTCGGTACAAGCTCACGACTGTACGCAGCACCGTCCAATGCTTGCCTGCGACACAGTACTTAACGATTTGTGTTATTATGAAGTGCTGATGAGGGTTTCGATGGGACATTCCAAACAAACGTTGTGGTCAAACATAACGGCAGCTGCTTGTACGTCCCTCCGGGGATCTTCAAGAGCACATGCAAGATAGACATTACGTGGTTCCCCTTTGATGACCAACATTGTGACATGAAGTTTGGTAGTTGGACCTATGACGGCAACCAGGTATTGCTGTAATGTTTACATGTTCTCTGTGCCCAATACTACCCACACTCACACGCGCGCATTCCACCAGTCGCCATTTCAACATTAACACGCCACTTACGCATTTTTCGTCAATTACGTTGGCTCACCGACAGTCTTAATTGATACGGTTACTCACTAATTGATACACTGTAGGGACGAGTATAACATTTACACATCAAAGACTATTTTATAACCCAGACTAGACAGATTATAACATACCGTAGGCAAAATATCTATCTATTTTGTCTACGGAACAATATACAATAACAGAATAGAATTAGTGCACGCAAATCTAACAGCGGCGACTATGTTAATGTTAGCTCTAGATTAGGCTCTCACTCATTGATCTTAACCGGGCTGCGTGAGATAAACAATGATACCAAATAAAAATTTTAATCTCACCAGTTTGGATTTGGTCACGTTGTGTTGTATATTTACCGCGAATTCAAAGTAGTCATTTTATTTCGACAAGACGAACTTAATTGTAACTACATTAATCGTCGTCGAAGTATAATGACTCGTTAGGTTACACACTACGAACACAAGCTAGTCACAGGAGGAACCATGTGACTATATCATATAGATTTGCTATTTTGCATGGAGCACCTGTATATTTGATTTCTCTGGTACTGACTTTGGTGCATTCCCGTTTTTCAAATCAATCCAATTAAATCCCAACCAAAAATTTCGCATTCCCGCAACGAGCCGAAGTCGTTACCAGAGGAATTATCGTGAATTTGCTTCTGGTAGGGCTGTACAAAACCTGACTAAGCTAAAAAGAAAACAACAAATGAGGCCGGAAAGAATCGGGCAACCCGATTACGTTAGGCGGATTACATCCCGTTTTTATTTATATATTTTTTTTATAGTTTAGACTAAGTTGTTCAAGTACACACACGAAAACAAAACATAAACACACGCAGGGGGTCAAAAAATAAATAAAAAAATAACGTTTTGAAATGAAGAAAAATTAAAATGCCCTTTAAAGTAAATTCGAACAAGACATAAATGAAGAGGCTGACGAGATAGTGTTGGAGGGTGGCGTAATCAAGCATCTCGTAGGCCTAGTATTTATCCCAGAAAAATAAACCCCTGGAGGATCTTTCTCCAGTTTTTTCTCCGGTAAATATCAAGCCTTAAAGAGCTCGGCTACGCTTCGCCTTGAACAAGTGTTGGTGTAGTAGAATGCCGTATTTTGCAATTTCCAACGAGAAAGCATATAGATCTTTATAGAACGTTTTGAATTCCTAACCTAATTCTATCTGAGTTTAGTGTAGAAATGCAAACGTTAAATATAGCTCTAATTTTATCAGTAATCTACTGCATCAATAACAAGTGAGGTAATTAAATGGGAGTTCTCGTAATCTAAAATGTAATGTGTTCAAAAAAAGCGTGCATGGTATTGAGTCGAATTGATTGGAAGTTTTTGGGAATAATTATTTTTATCTTATTGGAACAAATTGGGCATGGTGCATGTGTGTATTTTCTCGTTTTATATATATATATATTTCTTAAAAGTAACAATCCGTTTATAATTGTTACTAAAACGTTTTATCGGCTAACTATAACGACTATAGTTTGAAACGAAATTTGACATTTTCTTACGTCCTCGAACGCATGCCCCTCCCCCTCGTCTGGTTTCAATCTTATCTCGTAGATGTCTCTCCAGGAGCAATGAAACGAATAGGCGTGTTGTCTGTCGATGTCTCAGTAGTGTCTTTCAGCCTTCTGTTACGAAACCACACGGCAAGTTTACTCCGATCCCCTTTTAATACTTGCCGGTGAGCCACGCAAACGTGAGTTTGCCCATTCCACATTATTTACATTACCACGTAGATGTCCTAAGCATGATCACTTAATGTCGGACACGCCTAGCGCTTGCATGCTGTCGCTAGCAAATCCTGGCGGGGAGTACATGATCAAGTTTTGTGCAGCTGGACCTTGTCCTCAACTCAGAGGATGGCGGAGACCTTTCAGACTTCATCACGAACGGCGAATGGTATCTTATAGGTACGTCATCGTCCGTCATCATCAATAGTGAATATTGTTTTTAACCCGAAATGAGTTGTTGATAAACAATTTTTTTTTGAGACGTCAATACTCATTTCGGTAGTTATTTGGTTATAGGTGTTGTTGAAACAATTGAATAGTGGGTAAAAATGACGAGGTCGTTATATTTTATAGGAATGCCGGGCAAGAAGAACACCATAGTGTACCAGTGCTGCCCCGAGCCTTACGTGGATGTAACGTTCACAATCCAGATACGCCGGCGCACGTTGTACTACTTCTTCAACCTGATAGTTCCTTGCGTGCTGATTTCCTCGATGGCGTTGCTGGGCTTCACGCTGCCGCCCGATTCGGGCGAGAAGCTCACACTAGGTACATGCTCGAGTGTCGTATTTGTTGTGCCTTGCACTCCTGTTTGTGTGGGTGCCGCTTGACCACACTGGCCACGCTAATATTACTTCACGCGCAATGCGGCGTCACACACTCAAAAACACCCAATAAGACATCTACCGACCACACAAGACTACATCGAGAGCCGGTTGCTGCAGCGGCGGACGCAAACACTTTCAAAAATGCGAAAATCTTTATTGCAGGTGTCACCATACTTCTTTCATTGACAGTATTTCTCAACCTAGTAGCAGAAAAGATACCGACTACGTCTGATGCGGTCCCGTTGATAGGTATGCTTGGAAGTGGAGGCATCGTGTGTATTGACAGCCCTGTGTCCCTGTGGACCGCCTGTTGATACTTGGAGGGCCACGACGTTGCATGCATTTTTCGATCGAACTCCTTAATTACCTCCCCATTTGTCTTATTGGCTCACAATTATTTTCTTGACGTAGATAGACGTTGGATAGCGTTGGATAGCGTCGACGTCCAGCCTCGACAACACGAATCTTCATTCCAATCATTTACCAAGCAGGCTAATAAACACCTCACGATGCAGTATTTGCTCACCGTTTACTTTATTCCGTATATTTATCGTTTGTGTGTTCCTTCTTAGCTATTTCGTTTCCCTCATGCGATCCGATCGAAGTTTTCGTATCAACATTCAAGACACGCTTCATTGTAGATTTCGAACGATTTCGTCAACATGTTTTTATTTAATTTATCAGCCATCTGTTTAATTTTTCAAGGACCAACCAGAAACTCCAAGTGAGCAAATACTGAGACGGTAAGTGTTTCGTAAAACGGCGCGAAGAAGTTTGAGCGTAGAAGAAAACGGAGAATGATGGGTGAAGTTCGTGTTGGTCGGGATAGTAGAAACCGTACACCTGTAGCCGTATTCAAGCTGTGTTCTGTTGCAGGAGTGACCATCTTGCTATCGTTGACTGTGTTCCTGAACCTCGTGGCAGAAACTTTGCCCCAAGTATCTGATGCCATTCCTTTGTTAGGTACCAACCGTTGTTTGTCTGACCTGCCTGTGCTGACTACATCCTCAGTGCTGCCTGATGAGATGCGTACCATTATGTGTATATGTGATTGTCTGTCCACCGGGAGCCAGCTTCAGCGCTGACGGTTACTCGTAATCGATGCGATCAAAGAAGAAATGTTTTGGGGCAGCCGGTGTGGGTGGGAGGGGGCCGGGGGCGGAGTGCTGTCGCGCGATTCGAGAAGTGGGAGATAAAGAAACAATTCGGTCGCAAAACATTTCCTCTTTGGATCGCGTGGGACAAGCCGGATACTTGGAGAGGACTCGTGTTGACGCGGCACAGGTCACAGGTCAGACCTCGCGTGATGCAAGATCTGTTGCAGGTGTCACTATCCTGCTCTCACAGACCGTTTTCTCACTCCTGGTTGCGCACGTTATTACACAGACCTCGGACGCTGTGCCACTCATAGGTTAGAGTCACGGAATTCAAATTACCTAATTGCCTTTTGCCTTGCCGACGGCGCGACTTTTGCATGGCGCGGCAAGTCGCGGGGGTACCACTTCTTAACAGCACTTCGCCTACCTGTAACCACAAGCTACACGACTAGTGCTTTTTAGATCTACTCGAAATGCGACTACTCTGACTGCCCCAAAACTATTTCAAATCGCCCTTCCTGCTTAACGCGCCAGTCTACTCATCTTTTTTACCAAAACTTGTTGACGTTGATTGATAAGGAATGCTATCTTTGCGACTAAGGTAATGTACTCTATTAGCTATCCCTTTAATTACTTTAATAGTTTCCTCTTCTATCTTAAGATCTTACTTTCTCTTACTAAAATTTCAAATTCACCACATTTTACGCGGTGTAAATAAGTATTAAACAATTTAGAATATTTAGATGAATGCTAAACATCGCCGCATGACAAATGTTTAATTGTCTTATTACCAAACCAGCGCTTTCGCCAAAATTTTGCCGAACCGAAAGATGATCCACGAGATATAACGCGTAAATTAATTAAACCTATTGTGCAGACGCGGCCTCCCAGATTATCGCGAATGATAAATTGCGAACTGGGTTCTCGGTAAGGATCGAATTCGGGCCCTTTTGTAACCCTATCATCAGTTGCCTGAAACAACTTCGTGCGCCCGACTGTTAGGAATAATAGATGACATCTAATTTTTAAAGGGCGACTTCCCGGAATCTTCATTAAGCCGAAGGTTCGGGGAATTCTTTCAAATTTAGTTTTTCATTAAACTAACTATCCATTCATTTAGAGAATAATTGTATTTTAAAATGGATGGTTGGTCGCTTAAGTTTTGGTGAGAGATGAGTAAAGAACAATAATAACGCGAGTGCCGTTAGGCTGGAAGGTCTTAGCGCTTAAGTTTTAGTGGGTGAGGATGTTGAATTTAGTAATGCGGGTTAGTTTTTGAGGGAGGGATGCGGGTGCAACGACCGAGGCTAAACTGTAACTAGTAAAGTAACACTAACATGAAACTGATAATCGCTGTGAACATGTAGCTTCATGTTCCAAAGACGTCCTGTTCCTTAAGACCCGTTCCGCTTGTACTTCTGGATGCCGTGTTGCAGGACGTGCCATGCAAAGCCAAGAGGGGAACGACCAAACCTCCAAGTATCAAATGGCTCTGTCCTCTACGAGTATCTAATCTGTATGTTTTGTTGTTGATATGTTTGATTTCCCTATTACTGTTCGTACTCTTTTCCGTTCTTTCTTTATTACTACTATCATTATGATTTCTCTCTGCAAGGGATCCGTATTGCAATGGACCAATCTCCGGCCTTTGATGCGTCACCCAGAGGTTAACCGATGCAAAACGGACGCCCTGTAATACGATTCGTTACCTCCTCGTCAAGATACGTATATATATATATATTAACACGAACACGCTTAAACGTATCAGATTAAACAACTGTCGCCTAAACCGCCCGTCAATCACGTTGTAAACTAACTAAAGCCGACTCATAATTCAACGTTGGCGAGCTGTGCTTGTTTGAGTGCGAGATTCAGCAATGCCAATAACGCACAGCTTCGAGCCAACGATAAACTAGCAATTAAAACGAATGAACACCGCCATCCGTACAAACAGTTTACGCTTTCGCTTGTCCTCTTCGTCTTTTCTAAGGCTTTCATCCCATCTCAACACCCGTTAAACCGATCTAAAAGCAATCTGATTAAATTAATTGAATCGCGCTAACAACAAAAAAGAGGTAGATTCGTGGCTTGTGGGCCACGAATTTACCACTATACCTCGGCCGGACTTCAGCCCTTGCGTTCTTTGAGGAGGGTACGAGTATCGCGACGTTAGTGTCCGACTGTTTATGTGTAGTAACGTTTGTGTATCTCGAGCGAATTGGAGCGACTGGGCGTTTCTGAAACGAGGATGCGTGTTTCTGCTTGGCGACTGCGTGCAGTAGCGATCCCGGCCCCGTTTTCGTCGTAGTGTCGTAGTTTAGTCTCCTTTTCCGCCGACCTTTAAACGCGACCACCAGCCAGAAAGCAGACTGTGACGCGGCGCGCGTTTCAGGTACCTACTTCAACTGCATCATGTTCATGGTCGCATCGTCGGTGGTCCTCACCGTAGTGGTCCTCAACTACCATCATCGTACGGCCGATATTCACGAAATGCCGCAATGGGTGAGTTAAGTGCAATGGTGTTGTTTAATTGAGGAAGGTACATACGATTATTTCCAGATTAAAACGGTGTTCCTGCAATGGCTACCATGGATTTTGGGAATGAGCAGACCTGGGAAGAAGATAACGAGGAAGACAATACTAATGAATAGCCGCATGAAGGAATTGGAATTGAAAGAAAGGTCGTCGAAGAGTTTGTTGGCGAACGTTTTGGATATCGACGATGATTTCCGCAACCTTCCCGGGGGGAATAACGCCTCGATGACGACGAGCCTTGGCACGGCGTTCATGCGACATCCAACGACCATTGAAGAGGCAGCGGTGCCGAGCTCCGGCACGCAGAGGGACCTGCAGAACATCTTGAGGGAGTTGCAGTTTATCACCAACAGGATGAAGAAGGCGGATGAAGAGGCGGAGGTGATAAGCGATTGGAAGTTCGCTGCAATGGTGGTCGACCGCTTCTGTCTGATCATATTCACTTTGTTTACCATCATCGCGACGGTGGCGGTGCTGCTGTCGGCGCCGCACATCATTGTCCAGTAGGGACAAAGCCTACAATCACGCAGTTTTCAATACTATTTTATAGTACTGCTAGATAGACTATGAACGTTTACTGTGATACAATTGCAGCGTATCGTTTTGGCACAGCAGCAATGTGCCTTCCATGTGGAACATTCACAAGCTGTTGAACAACTAAGGGGCGAGCGTGCGTGCGCCGTGCGACCGCTTCATATCACCGGAACACGAGCCGAAACGTACCGCATCCGCACCGAATCAAATCGAATCGACCCGAAATGAACAGAGCGCCAGCGACGAGACCCGTACGGCGCACGCGCGGCCGCCTTTTGTTAGCCCATTGATACAAATAAAAGGTGTCCACCTATATTTAAAAGGAAATAAAAAAAATGTGATGAACTTCGCAAACTAATTATAAATCTTTTAATTATATGAGTTATAGAAAAAAAATGAAGATTAAATAGAATATATTATATAAAAAAAGAAATCCGAAGTTGCGGGTAAGTTGCGCTATGCGCATGTTTTATATACATTGGTGAGGAGGCATTAAGATGCACGTTGTTATATATATCTCGGTACCTTTTTTTGTATGTCAGGGCCGGACCTTACCTGATGTAAGCTCTTAATGCCACCTCCGCACGTGTCTCAACAGGCGTTGTGTGCCCGACTCGCTATTTATATCGCAAAATGTAGTTATATATAAATATATCGAAACAAAACGTCTTCTATGTATAGTTGATTCGTTCTTTTTATACGGTATAGCGACAACAAAAAACAAACAAAACAAGACGAGCACACACTGTCTGCGTTTTATATCATATACCATTTTTAATATCATATTTAATAAAAAAAAAAAAACTTCGAATTTTTCATTACTATGCAAGTTTCTATACCATAAAGGTTAAGGGGCCGCGAGGCCCGTTTAATAATAAACAATAACATTGTTTACTGGATAATAATGAAGTAACTTAACAGATAGAATTTAATACGATTTTAATAAAAATGAAAGAACAAATGAAAAAACAAAAATGTTTCTTTGGGCATTTTACAAAAGCATAGAGCGAGGAATCGTACGGATTTACAAGCGACAATTTACCGAACCGCTTTATTAATCATATTTTCATTTCAAGATTTTTAGTTCATCTACCTACAAAGCATTTTACATTTCATTTAAATGTTAATTTAGGTCTCGGGTTACGGTGGCTTGTAACTGCGTTACGGTTACTCTATATCGTGTTGGTTTACTTGGCGAATTTGGGTTTAAAATAAGATCGATGAAAGAACACTAATTCGCCTGTTGCTGCCGCTGCCGTTTATGGTAAACGGCCCAAATCATTTTTTAAGTTTCGCTTTCGTGTCTGCCCCCTTCGGCGCCCCGTCTCTGTGTCCTTCCCCTCCCGCGAAACTGTTCACCAACCTCAAAAAAGGCGAGCACAAACCCACCCAGGCGTGAATGTGACCACCGAGCGAATGCGTAGCGTAGCGAAAACCGCATATGTCCGTTCTTGTAGTTGTCGATAGCGTGGCAATGATGTTGTAGTGATTCTTTAGCGTTTAATATACTAGCGTAACGTTCTCCCGATTTCCCGAGCGCTTTTTTTATTTGTATTCGTGATTGAGGAACATATACATAAGATATATATACACAGAAAAATGCCAAAAAAAAAAATAAATAAGATACACTCGAAAACTATTGTATAACAATTTATGCTCAAAAGAATTATTGAAGTTGTTCATTTGCTGTTATATTTTATTATGAGGCGTTTCTCGATGCTGGTATAAATAGGTGAACTTTGTTGAATAAATGTACATTGTATGGTTGAAAACAATAAATGCAGGATATTCAGTTTTTCCTTTAGTTTTATTTCCCGTTTTTTATCATTATTAATATATATCTCATTCGGAGTATAAAATCGTTATCGACACAATATTGTTGACCTACATTTCATTGTGGCGACCTCAATATTGATCGCCCCCTCACATTGAATAACGCCGCATTCAATTCTCGTATTAGTTCTTATCAATGAAAAATATGAATGAATACATTTATGTACTCAAATTACATACTAACGTCGCCATCTATGAATCAAAAGCTAAAATTATTATCATCATTTACAGGTTTCGCGCCACCTATCTAAATAAATTAGATTTAAAGACTCGCTCCAAATTATTTCAAATAAAAGATATTATTCTAAAAGACATTATTTATTATACAATTATTTATATACATTGAATGGCGCACAACCAAAGAGAGTGAAATAAAATTACGTCAACGAAAACATTATCATTTAAACAAAAAAAAAAAAAAACAACTTGGTGAACAAAGACATTTAATCAGCAGTCTTAATGAAATACCGACACCTTTTTGATTAGATTTTGTGGTCGAACGTCCGTGGGTTGAAATTTATTAATAAACTCACGAGTTACGCAGCTTTTCTGTATTCCCTATAATCGATGAAGCCGTCACGGTTGATGTCGGCCACTTTCATTGCTTCATCGACGGTACGTTCCAGCTCTTCATCGGAAATAGCTGGATGTTCTTCTTTAGCTTTTGGACCTATTTTATTTTAAAACATAATCAAAATGATCAAAAATATTGCGAAGAAAAGAAAGACAACATGCAACAAAAGGATCAAAGCAGGACATACTGTTTTTATTTAGGGTTTCTGTTGACTGGCCACTTTTTGTTGAGCCTTAATAAACTCGGGATAATCAATGTAACCATCTCGATTGTTATCATCCATATTTAAGATTGGATCGATCAATGTCAGCAATTCATCATCCTTGAAAATTTTATTTTCCACCTGATTTTGTCCGGGCTCTGTGTTTCCTTGTTCTGATACGGCAACAAATGCACAAAAAGATTTGTAAAGCAACAAAACAAATAACCACCAAGATTTAGAAGAATTTGAAGAAAGATTATCACCAATATTTACAAAGAAATGAAAAAATTATTTACCATGCCAATGAATTAAAGATTTTATCAATTCACAACCATCCAATTTATTATTATTATCAGCATCGTGCATCTTGAAATAATGAAATTGAAGTTCTTGTTCAGTCATTTTGCTTGTATCCATTGGAATTTCCATATGTTCAGCTATGTGTCTATGATTATTTCAAATTTATGAACACAAAAAAAAATAATTAAAAAAAATCTCACTCTTTTTCTTGCATGATGTGTTGCGCATCTAAAATTTTCCCTTGTTGATGATGCCCATGATGCGGAACTTGCTGATGACCCTGCTGTGGATGTCCTTGCTGAGGGTGTACTTGCTGTGGGTGTCCTTGTTGAACAGGTACATGACCTTGTGGAACTTGCACTTGAGGTTGAACAGGAACCTAAAACAATACAAATTTATTTGGAATATATTTTAATAAATCAAAATACCGCTATAGAAATTATGAATATTATTGAGAGGTTCAAGTAGTATTATGTCAAAGCGCGTATTTGTTCATGATTGGAATGTGTGGGAATCGAAATGAACCGATATTTTTGTTCACCTCAATACTATTTTTAATCTATTCGCGGCAAAAATAATTTTACGTTGTGTTTATTTAAAAAACTCGTTTCATTTTATTGAATTGATTCGGTTAGCGATGCTAAAACATTAAATTAAAATATTTTTAAAATTTGAGAGGGCTTTTTATTATTATTAAAAACATTTCCCGAGGGAATATGGATTCAAATTCAACATGGTTAGTGATGTATTCATAAATGTAGCATTAATATTTAATGGTACCTGAAATGTGGATTACAAGAAACTTATATAAAGAATGGTTTCTACCTCGAATGATATTTTATTTTAATATTTATTTGTTAAATTGCCAAAAAAATTTTTTAATATTTTGTCAAGTATATCACAAAATATTGGATGTTGGTATAAAAATCAAGTTGAGTAGAAAATAAGTCGGGCCAACTCAGTCATGTAGAGGTTACATAGAAATTAATTTTTTTTTATAAGATCAAGTAACTGATCTCCAAGACGATACATTTGTTTATTGTCATAATTTATAACTCGTCATGTACACATGTATTATATAAATCTTGCCAAAATAAAATAATTTATATTTAAAAAAATACTTAATCTGTTTAGAACATTATAATATATGTGTGTGGAATAATAACACCGCCACAGGATGAATCACAATCTGGGTAGCATGATGGGAGGCGAGGATATAGCTGAGGCATCTACACAAGATGGAGCAGGGCAAGTTAAATTGTTATCAAATTTCACCGTGCAGTCCAATGCTCTTAATGAACATTAATAATCGGCAGCGCCCAGTAAAGACACCGATTAGAACTTTTAGTAAGTCCTAAAATATTCCCGGGCTTGACAGTGGCGATGTTAATAAACACCTTAGCATGTCTCATTCCAGGAGAACTGGTCCATAGTAGGCGAAGTCTCTCTTCAGCCCATAGTCCAATCCTATATTTGGCCATCGCAAATAATACACCAACTGCTGGTTCCAGCCCCACAAACACTTAAGCGCTGCCCTCTCGTGCTAGCCGCTTCATTGCCAGCAACCCCAGAGTGACCCGGGGCCCAGATCAGAGTAACTCTGTTATCACAACTCAGTCTGTTTAATGTTCTCTTGCAATCATTAACTAGAGCCGACACCGTTTTTACGGCTTGCAGCGCCTGGAGAACGGCTTGACTGTCTGAGAAAAGTCGTACTGTCATGTTCTTCACCCCTCTCAAGAAGAATTTTAGCACCTATGTCAATAGCAAATACTTCCGCCTGGAGTACAGTACAGTACATACCCAGGCTGTACGCTTGTAATAATAAATAAATAATCAAATATCTGCCTGAACCAGAGAATTTTCATTTTTGATCCAGGACCATTGCCATTCAGGCAGTACAATTTGGTATTGAGCATTAATCAATGATAGTGATCCCGCCAAATCTGATGGCATTAATAGCACAGTATATAGTAGCGCAGTATTGCTTAAATCTGTAAATGGGTGTTCTAGCCACTTTCTGCCAAGTTGTCATACTCCAGAGTGCTCACTGAATAGAAACCGACAGAGAAGAGATGGCGAGGGAGGCCACAAAGGATTTACCAACTATGCCTGTTGAAGAATGGAGTGAGGTTGCTGAGATAGCAAGGGAGGCCAAAACACACATTACATTATAGAGCCAAAGGAAGAATTAATTTTGACATTATTGTATTGTAATTTTGACATATTAAAGATTTGAAAATCCAATATAAGGTGTAATTGAGATACAGTATACAACACATTTCTGCCAATAGAGGTAGAATCCATCCATAGTCAACAATTTGTTAGATAGATCATTCAGAGTTCTTCTACAGCATATCTTGATTGCAAATTCTTTTTTATTTCATCATACTTAGCTAAAATAAAGTTTGAGTTATTACTTTTACATTAACTTGAATCACTTAAACCATCAACAACAAACCATATACTTAATAAGATAAATTTATCTATATGATATTTAAGCTTTGCATCTTAACGATAAACAAATATCTATATAACTAGAGATATCTAATAAACTCCACATATCTAATAAACTCCAGATATTTAATAAACTCCAGATTATTAAGTTAATTAAAAATTTTTCATGAAATCTATATCAATACATCGTTATATCAACTTAAATCTACCTGCTGTTGTTGAATGGGAACTTGTTGTTGTTGATATTGTGGTGGTTGCTGTTGTTGTTGTTGATATTGAGGTTGTTGTTGGAACTGCTGCTGTTGCTGTTGATATTGGGGTTGTTGTTGAAATTGCTGCTGTTGCTAATTATAAAAAAAATTGTATTAAAAAGCTGAAAAATAATATTACAATTGGGTTCTCTTACCTGATAATGATTAGGATTTACACCGGGGGGAACACGTTGGGCGTAAATACAAGAAAATAAGTAGAGTAACGTTGCAATATGGGTTAGTAAGTTCATGATAACCTAAAAAATGTGTGGGGTGTTCTTTGATGTTAACGCGGGGAATGCAGTTTTAAGAGGTTCTGAAGGCAGCCGACGCGAAGATGATTGAATGTTAATTGAAAACAAACCTTCACCTTAAGCGATAACTTTAGAAATTATCCAAAAATAATCGCGGACTTTCAAAACAAATTCAAACGGGGACACGTATATTGAAAGAGTACACGTAGCTGTCAAGCATCAAGTAGAACAACTTACAAACAATAAAAATCCCCAACATAATTATATGTGACGTCACCAACAAAATGATCACTTTCATGTTTAAAATCAATTATTAATATGAAAAGAAAAATAATTTATAATAAAAAAGATGTGGTACAAAACGAATTATCTTCATTCAGTATTTAGTACCACTATTGCTTACTAGATGACTTAATTAAGTTTGTTTCAAAATTTTTGATTAATAATTAATTTGCTTTTGGGATGAAAATTATAAAACTAAATATGTTCATAAATTGCAAGAATCTTCTCAAAATTAAATAATTGTTTCTTCACACTTATTGCTTATTTACTACTTGCAAATACAAAGAAAATCATGATTTTTGAAAAATATTAATTCGCTCACTATTCAATATATATATATATATTTATTGACGTCATAAAGAAGAAGAAGTAAATATAAAAGCTCCCTCTATCATTTGAAATTTGAATTTACAAAAACGTCCGATGATCTGTGTCCAAATAAAACTTCGACGTAATATTTACTTAGATAAGAATCGAAAATGCACCCTTGATTCGTTGTTCGAATGAACTCGAGCACGATAAGTAGTAAGTGAGTTCTGTCAGTGTTATGTGAAGTTCTGTCGAGGACAGACCGTGGCCTCTTCTGCGAAGATATTTTTGGTATGGGGTCGAAGGGCGACTTTTTGCTCGTTTTGATCTTGGTCCTTCTCGTAACGGCCCAACGCGGTGTATGTAAGTTATTTTTAATTAATATTGCTCTGTCCCAATTCTACAATTTTAATTTTTTGATCGTCACCGTCGTCGAATATTCATTTATGTTAATTGAAACTTATTGGTCGAGTTCTATTTTTCCTTTTATTGTTTTTTTCTCGTTTTGTATTCATAAAATAGACGAGTAATTTGTTGCAGTTTTCAATTAATCTCATTAAAAAAATCACGTCATTAATTAATTGAACGTTAATTTAATATGTAAACAATTGTAACTATCTACAAGAATTATCAACGCGGAGAATTAAATTAGATTACTATTCTAATCTATTCCGTTATTTATTATCAGAAGTAGCATAAATGTTATACAAATTTTTTTTTGAATGGAATTATTTTAATTTTATTTCAAGCAAAAATTTAAATTTAGGTGATTTACGAACATTGTTTCAATCATGTTGTGCCGCCGGGACGAGTCATAGCCTCTCAGGTTTACCATGCAGAGATTATAAAATTCCATCAAACATACCAAGCTCTCAGCAAGGTATTTGTTTAAGTTCGCTAGACGTTTGCTGCAAAAACAATTATAGGTAATTAAAGCGATTGTTTAAAATCAAAAATAAGGAGATATCATTATAGGGATTCGCAATGTACTCTCGGTAAAGAAGACGCTCAAAACGCCAAAGATTGCGTAAGTTTTGACGGTGGGACTTCGATAGATTACCGAAAAGAGTGTTGTTCGGCTTGCCAATTAGCGATAGAAACGGGGGCATCAAATCCTTCTTGCGAAAATGTGTTAAATTTTAACCCTCCGCTCGATAAAGCATTTACAAGTTGTTGCGAAGAAATGTCTAAAGCGAGCTCGCAACAAAGTACAAGTGTAACAACTCCAAAATTAATTTCCTCCACCGAGTCAACGACTATTTCTACTACGGTTAAACCTAAAGATGATGTAGGGTCAAAGTCGACTACGCCAAGTGATGATTCCAAGAAAGACGTCGCCTCACCATGTGAGTATTCCGGGAATCTCATTTACGATTTTAACACCGCCCCATTTAGCATTGGAGAACATATGTTACTTCCCGGACGTCTGCGCCCAAATCTGCATACCCACTCCGGGTTCGTATAAATGTGCCTGCAGAGAAGGTTATACTTTAATGAACGACGGAATTTCTTGCAAAATTGACAAAAAAACTATTTCGACGAGTACCAATAAACCAGGAAATAGATGTGAAGCTTACAACCCTTGTGATCATACGTGCGAAGATACCGGAGTTTCCATAAAATGTTCTTGTTACGCTGGTTATGAATTAGCGAAAAATAAATTTTCTTGTATCGATATTGATGAATGCGAACGTGGCACCCATGCTTGTATCGAAGATGAAACTTGCATAAACGAGGAAGGAACTTACGCGTGTGAAAGCACTGAAGAAGATTACGATTACGACGACAGATGTCCCATTGGTTTCATGTTTAACGCCGACAAAAAAATTTGCGACGACGTCGACGAATGCGCATTTTCTTTGGTTTGCAAAAAACCACAAGTTTGTGAAAACAACCAAGGCAGTTACAAATGCGTCGATGATGAAACCCCAAAGTGTCCACCAGGATTTTATTACAAAGAATCCATCCAGGACTGTCAAGATATCGATGAGTGCATCAATGGACAACACGATTGCAACAGAGAATCTCAAACTTGCTTGAACACAATCGGAAGTTTCACTTGCATCGATAAAACGGTTGAGGGTAGTTGCCCACCTGGGTTTAAAAAAAATAGTATCACTTTAGCATGCGAAGATATTAATGAATGTGTTGAGAATCAAAACGTTTGTGGTCCCCATGAAGATTGCATCAATGAATCCGGTGGACATAACTGCGTACCTAAAAAACCTTACATTCCGTATGGCCCTAAAAAGCTTGAAATTCTTCCAAAACCTGAAGAACCCGTTCTTTTTACTAAACCAATTAGTACCACTACAATTAAACCAACCACAACACAACGCACAACTACAACAACAAAAACAACTCCAACTACAAAAACAACTCCAACTACAAAAACAACATCAACAACAACACGTCCAACTACAACATCGACAACAACAACAACATCAAAACCTTTTCCAGAAATAAGACGAATACCTCTTCCAAATAGACCAATAATTCCTACACAACATTATCGACCTCACGTGCCAATTTCATGTCCGCCTGGTTTTAAATATTCCGATGTTAAGCATAACTGCGATGATATCAATGAATGTGCCAATATAGAAAATGATTGCGATAGCAACCAAGATTGTTACAACACCCACGGAAGTTACACGTGTATTTGTAAAAGAGGGTTTCAAAAAGATCACCATACTATGGCGTGTACTGGTATGTCGTTAAATTAATTAAGAAATGATTTGGTTGATTCATTTTATTTTAGATATAAACGAGTGTCAAATAGGTCAACACGATTGTATTGATGGGCAAAGATGTGATAATACGATTGGTTCTTATTTATGTTCGCGTACTGCTGGATGCGGAACTGGGTATACATTAAATTATCATACGGGAATTTGTGAAGACGATGATGAGTGTGCTTTAGGGACACATAATTGCCATTTTTACGGACCCACTTATCAATGTAAAAATTTTGCGGGGTCGTTTAGGTGTGAGAAAATTCCCAGAACGTATAAATATAATATTACCACTCCAAAACCAAACCCTTTCAAACCTAGTCAGTCTTATCCTATTCGACCACACATATTAACACCTAGCACAATTACTTCAACAACGCCTAGACCTCATGTTCCACCGTACGTTTATGTCCACAAACAATGCTTGCATGGTTATAAAATGAATAATCGCGGAGATTGTGAAGGTAGACAAAGAAAATTATTTTAATAACAATGCTATTAATATTTCTCTTTAGATATTGATGAGTGTTTAGGAAATCCGTGTAATAGAGGCCAAAAATGTTTAAATTTAAACGGAAGTTATCAATGTATATCAACGATGCAATGCTTACTCGGTTTCGAATTGAATGACAACGGAACTGAATGCGTAGGTAAATATGAAAGCACTATTTTCGTTCGTGTTTTGAAAGGGTTTCTTTGATAGACATCGACGAGTGCGCACGTGGGCTTCACGAATGCTCCAGCACGCAAATCTGCAAGAACGCCAGAGGTTATTACATCTGTGAATGTCCTCCTGGGCATTCATTAAACAAAAATAAGCACTGTGAAGACATCGATGAATGTTCTCTTTATAGGGTTTGGAAAAAATCTCTCCTAATGAATCAATTTATTAAAAAAAATATTTTTTTGCAGCCCTGTTCCGAAGCTGCTAACTGTGTAAATACGCTTGGTTCCTTCGAATGTCGTTGCAAATCGGGTTTAAGAAATCGTGGTTCGTCTTGTGATGATATCGATGAATGTTCTGAAATACCAGGTTTATGTCAACAAAAATGTGTAAACATCTATAGAAGTTATAGGTGCTCTTGCGAGAAAGGCTACACGCTTAACCCGGATAATCGGTGCGTACCTATTTACTTTATTATTTGATATTAGTACGATAATATTGACATTTTTTTCTGACCCGTTTCAGAACTTGCACGGATGTGGACGAATGCGAGAAGTTTCGCGACCTCTTTCTTTGCGTTGGAAATTGCGAAAACACACCAGGAAGCTACACTTGCAGTTGTCCAAAAGGATACACCCTCGGAACCGATGGCAGAACTTGCCAAGGTAAATTTTTTTGAGTCGAATTTAAATTATTTAAGTTCACAAAGTTTATCGCGATTCCGATATACGAATTACGCCGTTTCCTGTGTTTGTTTACTTATCAAACCTCTTTATTTACCAAATACTGGAATTTATCAGATCCAAAATTCTCAATTTGGGTCAATAAATAATAAAACGAATCGATTCACGTGCAACTAGTTCAAGGCGAAATTCTTATTGAATAAGAATTTTGTTGAAATTTATCTTTAATTTATTTATTTTGTAGATATAGACGAGTGCCGCTCTAACATTTGTCCCAACTCAGAAGATATCTGTATAAATACAAGAGGAAGTTACAAATGTCATCGTTTGATTTGTCCACCGAATTACGTCCGAGATCAAGATCATAAAAGTCGATGTAAACGTTCGAAATTTTTATGCGATCCACGAGACGATCAATGCAACCAACAACCTTTCCATTATACTTATCACTTTCTCAGTTTTACATCAAAATTGCCTTTAGTTAAAGGACCCATCGATTTCTTTCAAATGCGCGGTCCGACTTATCCACATGCTTGGGTTGATTTTGTAATGAAAATAGAGGATGCTAGGTGTCCGCCGGGAGTGAGAAGGGTTGATCAGAGTTATTTTAAAATGAGGAAATATGATAATAGAGCGCTTTTATCGATTTTAAAATCGATAGAAGGGCCGCAAGAAATTGATGTCCAATTGGAGATGAATATTCAACACAACGGCGTTCGTAGTAGAATGATAGCAAAGATATTGCTAATAGTTACGCAATATACATTTTAAATGTATTTGTTTTTATAATTTTTTTAGGTTTACTTAAGTTTGGTGACGGTTTTTGTTTTTTTTTATAAATTACAATTATAAATAAATATTAAGAATCTTTTATTAAAGGTATAACAACAATGGCTGTTTTAATCGATTTTAATACATTCCATCTTCCTAATTTGTGTTCTGGTCCAACTCCGGTAATCAAAAATTTTCCATCAGAAGTAAAATTTAAACTATTCACGAATCCGTTTAATGGAATTTTGAATAATAACTCAATATTTCTGAATCTATCACTTAACTTCCATATTCTAATTGCACCGTCTTGAGAACCAGAAGCTATAACGTCCGTATTTACCAAAGAACATAAACTAGAAATCCAATACGGTTGTAGATTAGTCGAATCCAAACCGTGAGCTTCTTTAACTGCACAAAGCGGCTTTTTCCTATTCGCACTCCACACAGATAACTGCCCATCATCACCACCAGTCACAAATATATCTTCATTAACCAATTTCACTACATCCAAACAACCATCTGGGCCATTATAAATTAATTGAGACTCCTCCATAATTTTCCAAAGTCGTACTGTTGCGTCTCGACCCCCAGTTGTAACAGCTCGTTGTCGTGAGAGCGCATCTATAGACGTAATAGCATCATGGTGACCATAAAGAGTTTCCACATAAGCCATTTCATCCAAAGACCAAACTTTAACAGAACGATCTTTGCTTGATGAGTATAAAGTGTGCGTTTCTTTACAGAAAACAACACCGGTCACTGACGATCGATGACCTTTTAAGGTGTTGATGTGTTCTAATGTTTGGGGATTCCAAATTTGGATGTCTTTAGTTTCATCTCCAATTGCCTAAAATTTTTTTATTAATACATTATTAACAAAAATACAAGGTGTCTTAGACCGTTCATTAGACGTTTCTGGGGTTCTGGCCAAACTAAAAATTTGAAAATTCAGATTTCTAATTCTTCTGTTTATACCAGATGTCGCGACCTACTTTATTTTTTAAATGTTATTTGAATTTGTCTATTTTCAAGGTTTATGAATAACTTTACTTTTTGCAATTTCATTTGATGCATTATGATTTAATGCGACCTAGGCGGTGTGAGGGTTAAAGTCTTCTTTTAAGAAAAATATACTATAAGAACGATTTCGTCTCAAATCGCCGAGGTCGCTTGCGGGCGAGGCGCTAGAATACACCAAGTGGACGATTTCGAGTTAAATAACCAAATCTAGCGCCTCGCCCGCAAGCGACCTCGGCGGTGTGAGGGTTAAGAAACTTTATATTTTTACAAAGATATACTATAAAGAACGATTTCGTCTCAAATCGCCGAGGTCGCTTTGCGGGCGAGGCGCTAGAATCCTCCAAGGTAGACCATTTCGTATTGACATATCAAATCTAGCGCCTCGCCCGCAAGCGATCTCGGCGGTGTGAAGGTTAAAGTCTTCTTATAAGAAATTTTATACTTTTACAAAAATATATTATAAAGAACGATTTCGTATCAAATCGCCGAGGTCGCTTGAATACTCCAAGTGGACGATTTCGAGTTAAATAACCAAATCTAGCGCCTCGCCCGCAAGCAACCTCGGCGGTGTGAGGGGTAAGAAACTTTATACTTTTACAAAGATATACTATAAAGAACGATTTCGTCTCAAATCGCCGAGGTCGCTTTGCGGGCGAGGCGATAGAATTCTCCAAGGCAGACGATTTCGTGGTGGCACATCAAATCTAGCGCCTCGCCCGCAAGCGACCTCGGCGGTGCGAGGGTTAAAGTCTTCCTATAAGAAACTTTATGCATTTTTTAAATGGCACCCCTCATATTTTATTACTTAGTCGTCTTAGGCGCCTCATTTTACATCAATAGTTTGGGAGATATTTTGAAAATAATTTTGGCTAGAACCCCATTTTGGTTTTGCTGAGACACCCTGTACAAATAAGAATTAAGATACCATAAATTTGTTATCCATTGATATTGCTATGCTTAAAATTGCTTTTGAATGTCCTTTAAATGTCTCAGATGAGCTTTTCTTAACGAATGGGATACTTCCTACTTTTTTCAAGTCTTTTATACTCCCTAAAATTTGTTGAATGATTAGTAACTTCATGAAGTGTCTTCATGATATATATTTACATTTAACAATGCTTCCATCTTTACTTCCAGAGAAAATAAATTCATTTCCTGCTGTTATAAAAGTAGATGTGATACAGTTTTTATGCTCCTTACATCGTAAAATTTTAATATTTTCGCTATTAAACCCTTGGTATTTATCGGCTATGGTTGTTCGTAATTTTCCACTTTGTTTTAGATAATCAGTACGTAATCGTTTATTAATTTCATTGCTTGTAAGATCGTCGTGTTGTTCTTCATCCTCCTCTCTTTCTTCAACTAAAAATTAAATAATTAATATAAATTTTTGTATTAACAAATTTAACACACCTTCTCGTTCAATTTCTTTCAAATATGCTTTAGCCAGTCGCATTTTTTTGGCTTGGGCAGTTTCATCAGGATCTGATTCATCTTGATCATCACTGTGAGCACTCTCCGCTTCTGAGCTACTTGTAAGCTCATCATCCTGGTTTAAATGTTTCCTTTTCGACGATTTTTTAACACCCTTCACATAAGAAGATATAATTACAATTTTGAGTTAATTAATTAATTTTTTAAAACTTACTTTAGATTTTCCATGCAGGTTGGGTTTCTTTTTAATAAAAAACGACATTTTTATCTACAAAAATTGGGTTAAATCGCGATATTTTAAATTACACGTGTTGTTGATACACTGTCATGTTAATTTGAGGTTATGTTTTTAATGATGTGACCTGTTTTATCGACATTAAAAAGTATTTGTTATCAAAAAAATATTGTTAAGATGAGAATATTGTTGTATTTATTAAATTTTTAGTTTCTTTAACGATGGGCTCATTAATATTTTTCGAATTTTCAAGATATCTGTTTATTCGTGCAATGAATGCTGACGCTTTCGCGTATTTGCGATAGGTGGCGCCACATAAAAAATTGACACTTTCAAAAACTTGTAACGTTAATTGACACGATAATTAACACACTTAATGGGTAATTTAAAGTGATTAAATTTGAAAATTTTCAATTAAATAAATAGGTGTGATATAGAATATATCATTAACTTTTGTAATTATCAAGGCAATTAAGTCAATTAATTTTTTTTAAATTTTGCTATGTATTTTTATATTTTTATAGCAATTAGTATGGCGGATAATGTGGAAGCAGTGAGGTTTTAGATAGCTACAATGATATTAAGGACCTGGAAGATGAGAGGGCTTTAATGCTATAAAAGTAGATCAGGCGGCAGGCTCAGTAAGAAAAGAGGTTTGTTTGTAAACATCACTTGGGTGTTTGATATGTTGTGGTGGGAATTTCTATAAAGTAATGCTGTTTTAGGGTTAGGATGTTGGTGACGGAGACGGAAAAGTATCAAAAATGTGCATAAATTCCAAAGCTCCCCAACTGGAACTTAAAAAATGTATAAATCACAACTTGAAACGAGTGATACTTGTTTGTTAATCTTGTGTGTGAGCAAATAACCGGGACAAGACATTGTAAAGCTTGAAAGAGAAGATATGATTAATACTCATACAGGATGTCTCAAATAATTGGTTCGTCAGAACTTTTTCAGGTTTCACTATTCGTAGAGGTTTGAAATTTTGGTGGCATGGGTTATTCATTAGGAACTTTCGATTTAAAATATTTTCAAGATGGCAGCCATTTCCGGTATACCGGAAGTAGACCATAACTTCGTTATTTTAAATGGAATGCTATAGTTTTTATTGCACCTTTTAATTGTACGTAAAAAAATATGTTAATTTTGATCAAAGTTATTGGTACCTGGCGTTTTTCATTTTCGAGTTATTTTGATTTTATGCATGGAATGCAGGTCTTTTTTTATTAGAAAGCTACAGTTTTTGGTCCATGTTTGTATTATTGTTGTCATTAGTTACATTTGACGACGGGTTCCAAAATAAATAACCCATGCTACCAAAATTTCAAAACTGTACGAATAGTGGAAATTAAAAAAGTTCGAACGAAACCTTTCTCTGAAATGGACGATAAAGGTACAGTGTAATGGTTTGGTACAGGAACCTCTTTATGGACTTAGAAGTGCTTAAAAGAGCAGCAAGATACTGGATTAAGCAGAGATACAAGTACCGACTCGGTAAGTATATTCTTCATTTTTTTATTTATGTTCTTTATGTGCTTCTGTTATCCCTTCAGTTATCAATATCCATGTATTGCAAAATCTTTACATCATCACTTAAATAATCCTAAATAAGTAGTGTTTACAACTGGATTATTATGTATGTATATACATGAAGTTGGTGGATGAATATGTTAAGACATGAAGGGTAAAATAAGACATTTAGACCGCTGGGAGTTTGCTACTTATATAGTGTTTATAAAATTGGTGAAAAAAGGAATAGAAAAAGTATATATAGTACGGTCCTGCGTGGTACAGCAAACGTAGCTTAAGAAGTAAATTTATGAGTTATAATTTGTTGCCAAATATTAGCAAGGATTAAAGGGTTTCGTCTCGAAAATAATTGCCGCGGCCGCAACTGAACTTATAGTGCAGTAAATTGTATTTAGTTTTGAGACGTTGAATAAAATCACGGGCGAGGATTATGCTTGTTTATATCTGGCAATAGCGTTACAACGTGGGGCGAGCTTTTCTTGTCGAGCAACGCCTGTAAATCATTTACATAAGCACTAGCGGTACAAGATTATTGTTTTGAATTACTGGTTACATTAACGTATACAAACAATTACCAGTATTAGCAGAAATACGAAAATTTATACACCGCACTTAAGCATTCAACCGTCGAAGGCTATTAAATAAATTGCAAATTTACGGCATACGCGGGCCTGTTCTGACAATATCATTAGCTCTCTGCAACTTTTTTATTATTCTTCAATGTACTCGTTTGTGGCGTATTTTCGCCTTTAATTACGGACACGGGACTAGTTTCATAACAGGCGTTGAAGATTTCTCGAACAGTTTACTTCACGAATTTATTTGTTTAATTAAAGATACGTGTATCCTTACAAAATATGAAAATTTTACACCAACTAATAATAGTGCCATATATAAAAACATATTTTTATTACCTAATTAATAAATATTTGTTAGTTTTGAGGGTATGTAAATAACGCGTCGTAATGATTCGATAAAGTGATGTTTTAGTATTGATTTTAGAAAAAGAAACAATGTGGCTTTTGGTGGCACAAAGTCGCAATCTCAGCGCCGCGACCGTAGTAACTAATTATGTAGATAAAGCGAACGCACTAAGTGCCCTCATTGCCCGCTCTTAATCTAAATACGCCGACAATAATCGTTTAGATAATAAATCATAAGTGATTACGTGCACGCCATATTAATTACGCGTTCTTTCAAACGCTCTGTTTCTACATATTCTGTATCTCGACGACACGACGACTTGCTAATTGATACAGCGAGGGTTTTGATGACTATTAAACGCGGAAAGCAATTCCGGAAATCACGTAATAAATTATGTATAAAGCTGAAATTTTCGAATTGGATACATTTAGTTTTTGATTAAATTTGAATCTAAGTATTAGTTAGGATAGATTTTTTTTGGAAAAAATAGGTATTGAAGAGGGCAATAAATCGTAAGGGAAGGGGCAATTCTCGAGGTGCTGATAATAGTCTTAAATTAAGTAATTGCAATTAATAGTGTGTTGTAGCCGATTGATAAATGTTGATAAATGAGAGGGAAGAGTTATGTTAATGTACCCGCGTCTTGAGATAATTGAATAAAACGAATGCGACAAAAACGCATCGCATCGGGCCGGTGTTAATTTCTTTAAACATCGAAGCCAATAAATAAGTGCGTTATTATCGCGATTCCACTTAGTTTTATTGGGCGAATTTATTTTAGGGCAGATAAAAATACAGTCTTGGATTGGCGATAAAACAAGAACGTTAAGAGGTCCCCTGTATGGACGAAACTGGTTCAATCCAAAGCTGCGCCTTTTCGGCCGCAAGGTGTCGTTCGATTTTCGTATTTTATTGAATGCTTTTTCCTTATTTAGAAAAATCAAAAAAAAAAATATAAATAACATTAAAAAAAATAAATAGTTATAATTGGTTTATAACACGTTTGTAAGACGTTTGTAACCGGGTTGTAAGACTGGGTGTGCAAATTCTTGTACATGGCCGATTTGCGGTTAGAATCGGACCGTATTAGCTAAAAGCATTCTTATGTAAAGTAACTGTCCGCGGAGTCATACCAGTACATTACCAGGGTCGTAGTAAACCTGTTTGATAAGGAAATGACGGGATAACGCCTTCTTTATAGATCGGTTTTCATTGGTTATTGTAATATTAATGCCTGGGGTGGAGATAAACTCATTTTAAGGCGCCCGCGAGGTGTTAATCTAAATAGAAGGCTCACGGAAACGCAGATAAGGCTATTACCCGAAACGTGTCCTCTCGCGCCTCTCGAGCAGAATAAAGACATAATTTATGCGTGACGTGGCTGCGACCCGAAATTTTGGTGAAATGTGATTTTATTTCTCTGAGAAGACGTAGTAAAGTCGCCTGCACCTCAAATCCATTAGTCGTATCTATCTCTAATGGCGGACGAAAACGCGTCCCGTTCGGGGAGTAAGAGGATACGATAATAATAAAAATACCACACGCACGGGGAAGTGTTAATAACGCGGTGTTAATGGAAATTTAGAATAACGTTAAAACGGCGTTATCGCGCTCATTCACGGCCGGCCGGGCCTTGCGTTTCGCTTTTGATTTACAACTACCTTCACAGCTCTCACAAAACCTACCACGTCGCTACGTTTGTAAATTTCTTCCTTTACAAATGCATGAAAAAAAATTTGTCAACAGCGAATTTTTCAAGCGATAACAAAATTTGTGATGTACAAACAATTTGAAAACAGAAAATTTGAAATCATAATCCGTTGGGCTTGATTTAACGCAGACATGATGCTTGTGGTATGGTTGATTAAGTAAGCAAGTAGTGAACCGTTGGTTCATCGAATGTTGACATAAGGTTCAGTCACTAACGAGAAATACAACACCGCGGATTTTCTAATTACACATACTAGAAGGGTTGGTCCGAAGAAGACAAAGGAAAACAAAGCCACGAGTGCGTTCCTCGGTAGCCAATGGTTGGTTGGTTGGCCTCATGGTGCCGCGTACAAGGAGGTGCTTGTGTAATGAATACATATCGTGATCGTGAGAAAAAAGAATAGCGCGGACAACGGGGCCCTCGATGGCATCTGGTCGTGAAACATAAAACGAACATGGCGTTGGGCGCATAACAAAAAAATCACCAATAGTTTTCGACTGGCGACGGTCGTCGTTTTGCCGTTGCGAGGGTACGGGCCACCCCTCCCGGGTGGAACAACAAAGCCATGCCCGCAACACGCCTTCCCATTCTTCACACCTTTTCTCACCGATTTTTACACGCCATGTTGATTGGAGCCAATTAAACGGAATCGGATACAATTACGCTGTAACCCAACCTCGCTAACTTTCCTACCAATATGGAAATCATGTAAATATATTTAGAAGACATATTCCTCGACAAGAAGTCGTAACACGATACCTTCTACCGAAAACGCTCGGCTACACGTCTCAAACACCTAAAACAGTCGAACGCCACTACCAAGACAGAAAGACAGACCGCATTCTTCTTTGTAGACCACTTCCCACCTATACATCTACACTCGTATTCCTTATGCTCAGATTCCCTTTAGGACATTTCATTAATAAGATGTATCGATTCATTAATAATTATGTATT